AATTGGAATGTTAGTTTCAATTTTTAATTTTTTTTAAAAAAATTTAATTTTGAAAATAAAATTAAGCCATTAATATCAGTACATACAACATAATACAATTTTTATTCTATACAATGGACCAAACATATATGTACTTAAAAATTATATGCTCTCCAAGATAAAAAATTATATAAGAAAGAATAAAAAAAATTACTTATTTTGCTTTGCATGCGCTAAAGATTATTCATAAAAAATTTTAGGAGTAATTGATAGTAGATGCATGCAAGGTGCGACATATATAAGTAATCATGATCTAAAATATAAAACTACTTGAGGCTTTATTCGGCTTAACTAAATGGGAAAATCTTTGGACCTGATAAAAATCAGAAATTGATTTGGACTCTAAAAGTGAGATTTAAAAATTTAGGGTCTATCTATAACTTAAAATTATAAAATATGAGTCTAAAATACTAAAAATTACAATTTTTGGCGTCCTCTAAAATTGGAGCCCTAGATAGCCACTTTAGTGGCCTAGGGTCGGCCCTGATTTTTATTATATAGATGTTGGGAGAGAAAAATAATGGCCGATGAAATACGTAAGAGAGAGACACTACAAAGAGAGTAAAAAAAGACTCATGGATAAAACATAAAAGATTTAGCATAGACATAAATAAAAAAACACTTAGAGATAAGATAGAAAGGGCGGGGGGGAGGCGGGAGGGGAAGAAAAGTTAGGGAAAAGTTAGGTGAAGTTTGAAATTAATCTTTGGCTAAATTTGGTTCACACTAATAATGTAAAACATTAAAAGTAATTCGTGGCTGAAGGTACGATGTAATATGAATAATTTTGAAAGAGATGTCGATAATCGTTAAATGAATAAATTTATTTAAGATCGTCAAATACATCTATACTACTTATAAATGTCAACAAAATTTTTTTGATTTTCTATTTCACTCCTGATTATTACACTAAAGACAATTATGTCCACAAAATATTAGTTAGATAAACTTTATCTCTATGACTTCCAAATTTTTTGCTGGATAAACTTTATCACTAATATTCCAAAATTTTTTCTAGATAAATTTTATCACTATATATTAGTTAGATAAAATTTATTTCTATGACTTCCAAAATTTTATTAGATAAATTTTATCACTACGACTTGTCAGTACATTCTTTTTTTCTATAAAATTCTACAAATTCAACTAGAATTCTAATATGATGTGAAAAAAATTGCTATTTTTTAGGTGATAAACACAACCATCAGTTAAACATAACCATCATATATAATAAAAGATTAGAAGAGTAAAGAGTAAAGAGTTAAACCCATATATGTTTCTTTCTTTCATACCTATTAGACTTCAAAAATATTTTGAACAACTTTATTAGAAATATATATAGATAGATATAGGACGATAGACCTATATTTCTCTAGTAACTCCATTAACATACTTTATTTTATATCTATGCAATGAATTTTTTCTTCAAAATCTTTTAAAATTAGTGGCCTTGCATCTCTATCCCCTCGTCGTTAAGTATATTGTGACTGTGAAGAATGGTGGGTTGACGGTGCTTGGTGTTGTCAACCTATGATTTTTTTTTCTCTGTCAGGACATGCCTATTACTAGTATTATATTTTTTTTTCTTTGTTTTCCATCTATTTGGACATGACTATTGCATAAATACTCTATTTACCTTACAATAATTTTTTGTAATTAGAACTACAATTAATTTGTGTTCAATTGAATTGGTGCTCCCATAAAAGTGATAATGAACACTTTAAAAAGGTACTTTTCATATAATAAAAGTACTTAATCTGTTAAACTAATCTCATAATATTTAATTATTTATTATTAGTAGGCGGGTAGTGTTTTAAGAGTTATTATATTATGAATAGAATTAGTTTTGTTACCAAACTTTTTGAATTCATGTGGTGGTGAAATAATTTTAAATTAGTAAATTATATTTAGGAGTTTTATTGTTCTTATGTTGTAATGCCAGAAATTCTTATTTGATTTAAGAAGCCATTAAATGGATATATCAGTAGTCTTTTGCTTCGTCAATTTCATACACTTTGTATTTCTAAAAAATATAATTTAAATTTTATGATATAATTTTTTTTTACGTGCAACGCATGTGTGCATTACTAATTTATTAAAATCTATCAAATACACAATTGCATAAGTATCCAAAATTGAAAAGGTGGGGTCCCAAAGGGACTCAACCTACACTACTACCTTGAACTAACTAGGAATTTTAGTTTGGTCTTGGAATATATTTGGACTCAAGCTGCAATTTCAGTTTGTTTTTGAAAAATACAAGCAACGATACGTCCGTGCATTGATTTATATCTTATCACATTATATGATTATTTTTTACTGTCTTCTCCTCTCTTCCATCCTACCATTTATGGAGTAAAAAATTTAGAAAAATAACTATAAAAACTTAAGGTAATAGAAAGTAATTTTTTAAAAATAATTAAATGAGAAGTTATTAGCTAGTCAAGGGATGTTTATGCCACATGATGAAATATAATTGAATTGAATACATTAAAATTCTAAAAATTGAGAAAAAATAGAAAGAAAGTATCTCTTACTTAATTTGTTTGATGTATAATATGGTATAGATTCAAAATCAAGCCTACTCAAACTTATAACATTGATAATAAAGTCGAGTTACTCGGTTCGACTCAAGCTCAGCTCGTATTTTAAACGAGTTAAATTTAAACAATTTTTTAAATTTGATTAAAAAACAAACCTAAAAAGCTCGACTCGAGCTCGTAAAATTCAACTTGTTTATATGTAAAATAGTCGAAGTATTCGAATTCGATTCGGATTTAACTCGTTTTTGGCACGACTCAAATTTGACTCATTTTTTAAATGAGTCGAATTATCAGAACAACTATAAAAATGATCCAAATGATTTTAGCTGAGACATTTCCTTCCCATGCACGTGACCCTCACATGGGATCAGGAATGGGTTGCAGTTGCAGTCTCCCAACTACTTCTAAAGACTGATTGATTCGTGGGTGGACCCACTAACATGCAAATGTGGGCCCCACAAAAATTCAAAATTGAGAGAAGGGAAAGTACAGAAAACTACAAACCCCTCACCACCACCACCATAAACTATACTACAAGACGGGTGGATGGATCACATGATCATCGCCGCCACATGCGGTGTCGGAAGAGTCAAAGATTTTCAAAATTTTAAAAATTGAAAAAAAAAAATCCTCCCACGTGGCTCTATATGATTGGTTGGATGACGTGTGAGTTGGAGCTTATTGGAAAAGGGGTAGCATCGTTGTGGTCGCCGTGTTCTTTTAAGGGCTGCCCGTTGCGTGACCGGCCCGCGCTCTCTTATCCCATTGGTAACACAATCGAAATGACTGTTATGCCCCCAGTGTCGGCAATATTTACCGTCATAGCCTCTTCCATGAGTTGCAAAATGGCACGGGGTTAACAAGGAAAAGTCTTGAGTGCTCATTATGTGTGTGCAAAGTTTGGTATACCATCACTCATACTATCACTCAAGCGTGATTGGTGGTCCCTTTTGATATATCTAAATTACAAAAAAATGAGAAAATAAAAGTTTTTCCTTTATTATATTTTTTTAAAAAAAGAACAATACTAATATTTTTTTTTTGTGAAAATTGGGGTTGAGTCTTCCTACATGAACTTATAATGACTTGAATTTATTAAGAAACTTGTTTTAGTATAAGTCCTTTTTTAATTTTATTAGTAAGGAGATAAATTCATTTTTTTTTAATTTCAAAAATACCTTTAACAATGTTAGTTTAGTAAGTTATGAAAATTGAAGACATTATGTACAAGGAGCTATATATGGAGACTAATGATTGAATATATGAATGCTTGATTTACAATGTTAATTGTCTATTACAAGTTTTTCATAATACTTCAAATTTAAATTCTTAATCATTATTTTGTCTATTATACATTTAAATAATCGACTTTCAAGATTTGAAGTTAATTTGAAAGGGATGAAGTTGAAACTGGAGTACGAGTTCAAGATTTTGAAAAAAATAATATGGACATTACACATCAGGTACTCGATGTTAACATAGTAACATTAGTTCAGTAACATTAATTTCAAAACGTAAGTTGCTAACACATATCCTATTTTTTTTTCATGTTATTATTTTTTATTGAACATATTATTACTTTTTTAATGTTATTTTTTTGGATGCTGATGAATTGAAGACTTTTTTCTCTGGTTATGAGTGTGAATTCTATTATTTTTGTTTTTAATTTTATTCAATGTTTCATATTGCTATTTTTTTTGAGCATGTTACTGTTTTTGTTAAATATGTTACTGTTTTTGTTTTGCATGTTACTATTTTAGTTGAACATATTATTAATGTTATTTTCTTAAATATTAATATTGAATATTACTATTTTTTTTGTATTTAAATGATATTATTTTTTGTGTTTAATTAATACTTTTTTTTGTATTTGAATGTTATTATTTTTATTTTTAATGTTAATATATATATATATATATATATATATATTATTGATTAATTATTTTTATTGATTAATGTTAATCAAACTTTTAAAATTTAAGAAATTTTAATTATTAATTTTATTTCACTTCTAAAAGGAATAGATAGTTTGATAAAATTGATAAAAAATGGACTTTATAATAAATAAATTTTCTTGGCGAATTTAAATCAATGTAGGGAGAATGACCTCTAAATTTTTCTATTTTTTTATCAATAAGGAAAATTTTCACTTATTTGAATTTTTTTCAAAAAATTTTGAAAAATAAGAAAAAAGTATAGATATTTATTAGGCATATGATGTATGTGCATAACCAACACATAATAATTTTTTGTTAACCAAAAAAAAAAAAAAGTTTTGAGGGTAATTGATGGAGGTGCTGGAAAGAACTGTGGACCGCCAAAACACAAAATGATAACCCGATAACGTGAACATGGAAAGAAAATAGAAAGAGCCAAAAAAATATCGACATCCCCTCGTTGCCACCCAAACCCTTGGCATTGTTGATAATAATATACCCCCCACAAGAAAGAGAGAGGACAGATAGTCCCGCCTCCCTCTCTCTCTCTCTCTCTCTCTACCCACCTCTTTCTCTCTCCAAACAGAACAATACAAGACCAAACCCTTGCAGGTTCATTTCATTCCCTTTCTTTCTCTCTCTCTAGAACAACAAAAATGGAGGCTCTGGACACAAACGCAGGTCTCTTGGTGGACGATGACCTTCTGAACTTCTCTTTGGATGGTGAACAAGATGATGACGATAAAGTTACCAAAGACCCTTGTTCTTCTTCTTTGGAATCCTCAAACCCTGATAGCCAATACCCAGATGATCGCAGCCGTTCATTTCCTGTAAGTTTTTCATGTCCTTTTTGTGCGCTCTTCATCATTTGGCCTTGTACCCAGAATAAAAATAGACTGAGTTTGTGTTTGACTCGGACGAGTCTGGGGTTTCCGTTGGTTTTAGGGGTCAAAACCGTTGTGACTCGGCAAGTCGTGAGTTGACTCGGACGAGGTGGTATGTGATTGAGTTCCGAGTTGACTCGTTATTTTAGATGAAACGGCCGAGTCAAACAGAAATGGCGTGTTAGTGGAAGAAATTCCGGGTTGCCTCACTTCAGTTTGGAGACTAGGTCCGAGGGATGAAAGTAAAGTTATTCCGTGGACGTTTTTACCCTTTTAAACACTAGCCGTTGAATTAATAATGGCGAGTTTTGCGAGGATAGTATCGGAATAAAATAAATGCAATGGGCTTTAATTATTGGCCATGTTTGTTCACAGTGACTGACCTGTACGAATAAATGCCTGAACCTTTTCACCCACTATCTTTGTTGTGTAAAGACAATTGTATCCCCAGCAATCATCTTATCCATTTGTCACATAATTGCATTTTAACAGTAATTATTTGACTTGTATCTTGCCCTTGTACACCAAAAACCCCAACATGGTGTCCCATTGACAAGTGATATTATTAATTAATTATAATTATAAAATACATGATAATAAATCCGTGTAATCTAATCGTTGAATGTGTCGTCATCGGTGATTATTGAATTGTATATATATATATATATATATATATATATATATATATGATTAATGATACGAGGCATTTATAAATGCATGCTGAGGTAACCATGAATTTGTGCGAGTAGAACTGAGTCAATAGTTTTTCAAAACTCAGGAATTTGAGGAGGAACTGGAGTGGTTATCGAACAAAGATGCATTCCCGGCGGTGGAGACATGCTTAGACATTCTCTCTGATCATCCCGGCAATGTCCCGAGTCGTCACAGCCCGGTGTCGGTGCTCGAAAACAGTACTAGCAGCAGCAACAGCAACAGCAATGGCAGCACCGTTATGAGCTGCTGTGGCAGCTTCCAAGTCCCTACTCGTTACCCAGTTCGTGCCAGAACCAAGCGAAGGCGAAGAAGGAGAAGAGAGTTCCCTGGAATGTTCAGACAACAGTGCTGGTGGTGGAACCAACCAAGCATCAAGAAAAACACCAAACAAGGATCAACAATGCTACCAAAACCAACAATGACAAACAATACTATTGGGAGGAGGTGCCAGCATTGCCAGGCTGAGAAGACCCCGCAATGGCGGGCGGGACCAATGGGGCCGAAGACATTGTGCAATGCTTGTGGGGTGCGGTACAAGTCCGGGAGGCTCGTGCCCGAGTATCGCCCCGCAAGTAGTCCTACGTTCTCGAGCGTGATGCATTCGAATTCTCATAGGAAGGTAATGGAGATGAGAAAGCAGAAGCAGCTGGGACTTGGTGGGATGATGGTGAATGAGGCTTGTGGATATGGGTAGGTTAGTTTTGAGTAGTTCCTTGCAATTTAGTTGAAGTGTTTATCTCCTTAATCCTTTAGGGTAGGTAGATAGATTAGACAGTAGGGTGTCTGTTGTAATGGGCTAGATTGTTGGTGAACCATATTTGTTTTGTTTTAGTTATAATTCATCAAGGGAATTTTGACTTTAGTGTGCTTGGTTATGCATTAGAATGGAAAATGAGAAAAAAAAAGTTTTGTTTTTGCCCGTTATCATACTTTTCTTCAATAGTTAAGTTTCTTGGGTTCGCGATCGTGACATTTTGGGATTTTGGATTGGAAAAATGAGGGGTTTTGGTGGGGTTTTGTTGGGGTTTCGTTGGAATTACTTTTGTTATCAAGCTAACTTAGTATTAGTGGTTAGTTGACATGTTGATTGAGTTGTAATTCAGTTCTTGGTGGCAAAGGATAAAATCTTCTGCTATTGCTTTGAATGCAAAGTTAAGTTATTGTATGCCCTGTCAATTTTTGCTCAGTTTTATCTTCAAAAGCTTATCTTGGTGGATTAGTTCTTTCAACCTTGTGTTTTTGTCAGTAACTGGTATTATTATGACTGATCAAATGATGTTTCAACCTTGTGGTTTAAGATTTCTTGGAGAGACATTAGCTGTACTACTGAGGTTCTTTTTCTTATTTTGGAGGCTAGGAAGGATTAGAATTTACAGGTCATGGAATAATGTTCATCTTCTACCAGAATTTTCGGGATATTGTTTACGATCTGTGAGCTACAGGAAGAGAAATTGTGAATTTTAGACTTGTTTTTGAGGTTGTATTCACTTTCATGATTTTATTCTTTGGTTACACAATTTTCTGTTTGATGTGTTAATATTGCTAATCTGGGTTGTTTGGTGAATCATGTTGGCATGCTGGAAATAGGAGTAACTATTTTTGACACCACATGAACCGAGCTGGGGTTAAGCTTGACAAGATCCGATAGCACAAATAGTAAACAAATCGAGTTAATGTCAAATATAAATAATCTGTTTAATTGAAAAACTAGTGGATTTTTTCAAAACGGTTTTGCTAACGTCTTTGGGGTTGAGTGAATTGTTAGGTTATACGTGCTTATGGGTTAGCGGACTTTATTGAGAGAGAAAGGATGATTCAAACACGGCACGATTTGTAAACAGGTTAGCTGACTGTTGAGTAATTTAACATGATTAGTTAACCAAATCAGATTAGATTGACTAATACTCTACACAAAATTGAAGGGACACCAGCTAAACTGGACCCCATGAGCCAATTGACAAACACATCCGTAAGCTATGGTCATTGTACAACTGCTGTCATTGAGGGAAGGGTGAAATGTTAATAGCTTGAAGGTGGATACTTGGGACTACAAGTGAAAAATGTGAAATGCAAAAGTAAATGCTTTTTCTGTGAGATGAAACCTAGACATTACCATAATCATATTTGCTTTTTCTCTGTGATGTGAAGGGCTCTATAATGTCAATTGTTACCTCTAGCCCAGAACATGGGTCCACTCTCATGTGGGAGGGTATGATAATTCATGTGGTTGGTTGGGAAATCTGTGAATGCACTATGTGCAATTCATATGGATGTGTGCTTTCTTTGTACTATGGTATGGAAGGCCACACCTTTTGTTGGTTAGATTTGATAACCCCAGAAGTGGTTGATCTTTAGGCAATAGTAAAGTTGTTCAACCTTAACTTGAATATTATGAATTTGAGTTACGAAAAATAGTCTTTGCATATATGGGGGTAAGGATGCGTATATATTTACATCCAAATATAGCAAGATCAGACGGTGACATGTGAAAGAGATTCAACGGTGAGAACACGCCAAAGGAGAAAGATTAAAAAAAAAGCTTGTGACCTTGAATACTATGAGAATATCTTTGTAGGTGGGAATATTTACAAAATCATCAACATACACGACTCCTTATTTAGGCCCCGTTGAGATCACATTAATTTTGCCGAAAATGAGAATCTTATTACTAAAATCTTAGAATATCATGTTTGGATATTAATTCTCAAGCAAGATGAATCACAAGATACTCATTTCTAACAAAGCTTAATGCCATCTAAACCCGAGAAACCCTTTATTGGAGAAGTGGTACTCATTTTCAGTTAATGTTATCTAAACAGAACCTTATAACACTGGGAAATTTTGTTCACCACAAGTTTGTGTGCCAAATTGGTTGAATGGAGCATGTCCATTGTCCAACGTGGGGGGGGGGCGCCTCTCATGCTCTCTCCTCAGCTAGCATTGGTAATGGTAAGAGTTAGGTTGGGTCCCTAGAAGATATGGTTGTCTCTTCAATATCAATATCTCCCACTAATAGAGGTGCAACATTTTATACAATAAATGTGTTTACACCTCACTCCCCTTTTTTGGGTGCACATTTGAAGCAATGCACTTTAGTCTTCAAGATAGCTTAAAGGAAATAAGTAAAGGCTTCTTATTATTACCAAAAAATACCATAGAGAAGTAACAAATTTTTTATTTTCAATAGATTTGAATACGAGCTATAAAATTTAAATCGATTTAGCGTTCCGAAGAATTGGTTACAAAAATTTATAAATTAGGTTTCTGTTCGGATCGATTAGAGTTTAATCTGACTAGTACAGACAGGCCTACCTGTTGGTTTACAGCATAATATAAACATGAAGTTTCCTCATTTGGACTTTGCCACCAAAATTTCCAAAACATTTTGGAGAATGATAAAGAGATGAACTGCTTGCACTGTTGCCTTTTATGTAAAGCAGTAACAGATGGTTGGAGTCTTTCATGGAAAAGGAGGACATTATTGATTGATTTAGATACCCTCCATCACATAAAGAACTTCCTTTTCCTAGAAAGTCTACGTGCCATGTAGATGGTGCTATGCCACATAAGGGTAAAGGGCACATAATGGGTGAAGTCGTGTCGAACTATTCTAAATTATGTAGTTGAATATATACACAATTTATTTGTAATTTATAATATAAAATAAGACAGACTTCAATAATTCAGTTTAAAATAGATTCATCTAACGGCTATCAACATTTCTTTTAAAATTATTCATATTGCACCGTTCTTTCAGGCACGAGTTATCTATAGCAATATATAATTGAATTCATATTATGTATAAATTTATATAGTCAATAGTCTAGTTCATATTGCTTTATCTATTAATTGATTCTGACGGACCAAATTGGTTATGTCCCTAATCCTATAAAATTAAATTTATGCACAGTATTTTCTTATTGATTTAATAGATCATATTAAAAATTGTCCATTAGTCCTTTCTCAAGCAGGCTTGCCTGTGCCCGAATTTAAATTTGATAATGTTGCTTTAAGCAAGTTTCCCCTTTATCTAGAGCAATTGAAATAAAAATTACGTATAAATAATCAATGACCCTTTTTGAGTAGAATCGTAGAAAAAAAGTTAATGGAACTCACGTATAAAAGAAAAGGAAACATGAGGAATCTAATGAATTTCCCCTTGTTGAATATTGCAATCATGGTATGTTTTAAAAGGATTTCAATGTACAACTTGTCATGTTCGTGGGTTATGGAGGGTTAGAGGGCTATTGACATGGGTTATATCCTTGCAGTTTGAACTGATGTTGTCACATTAACCACATACAGTTGCATCTGGACATTGGATGTACAACCAACTCGTGTACATTGAATTTGGATCTCTTCTAATGCATTTGTCGTCAATAGTAGAGCATCCTCTGTAAATTGGTGCAAGAGTCATTTGTATATAATGAGTATCATTTGAATTTATGTCGGTTAATCTACCATTAAAGTAAATTAAGTGATTTGTATCGGCTGACTTATCATTGAAGAAAATAAAGTGAGACTGAATTAGAGGGAAACCACTTTATTTATGTGGGTTCTTCGATCCTAATATTGGACGGGTCCACCTTTAATCCAATACTGATAATTAATTAGATCCCAATTGAATTTACCACAATAGGTAATATCAATCAGAAAGATGTTTAATAAAAAAGTTAATCATTGTAATAGAATGACATCATATGTGAGTATTTATTCTGTTGTGGGGGGTGTCACTCTATTATAATAATTAAATTTTTAATTAAATCTACTATCAATGATTACAAATAACTCAAACCAAAATCTACGATCGAGAATTATTTTTTAATATAATACTAAAAAATTAAATTTCAATCCTATAGACTTGTCCTAAGTTTGCTGGGTCATAAAATATTCATTGAATGAGCAATTCAGTAAGAGAACTCGGTCTAGAATTGGAATAAGTTTAACAACAAATCACGAAGTCTTAGTGACCTTCTTTTATCTTTTTTCCTTCTTTACAAGCAAGCTAGCTTTTTTGCTGGACTGGCAAAGTTATCATGCTTTTTAATACAGGAAATAAATGCGTTGCGGTCCATTTGCAGGGGAGGCTAATGAAAGTGCATATAATCTTCATCCTTTACCTGGAGATCGGGATGGTTTTTGAAGCTCCAACTTTTAATGTTCCACTTTTAATTGAGTAGATCAAAAGGTAGCCAACCCTACAAGCAGAGGATTGAGAGGTGGGCTTATGTGGGGAAGGTTAGAATCTCCATCCCAATTGGACAATTTTTTTTATTGATAGATTATTCGCTGTGTATTGATAATTAATCCATTTATACATATCGACAGGGTCAGGTTAACACTGGGGGTAATTGGATTTGATAATGCACAAATTAGTTTTATACATCACTTGTCAAGTAATTAATGCGAATAATAAAATAGAGAGAAAAAACTCAACACAAGCAACACACACTTTAAGTGGTTTGGTCAAGGTGACCAACTCCATTGTGAATGGTTGAAATGACCTGAGTGTTTTATTGTTGTAGGAGTGTAAGGAGATCAGGTGAGATCAATGAGAGCTCAGGTGGGTGCAATGAGAGCTCAGGTGAGGTAGAAGATATGAGAGATATGAGAGTGATGCCATATGTGATACCTGCCTCCAATGTGTAGGTGTAACTTATATTTTATTGTCACTTCCTAACAGATTGAGGCGGCTTATTAGTAACTAAAAGACTAATTTAGTGGAGGTGGCGTCATCTTTGCAACGGTTGAGGCTGTTGTAGGGCTCTCCTCAAGACCAGGTCTTAGGATGACGTGGTTGACTTCCTTGCTCCTTTACTCCAAGGAGGTGTGGATGAGGCTGTTGGGATGACGTTGCCTACTCCTTGATGATGTGGCTCTTGAAGCCTTAAGAGCCTGATTAGGTGTGGATCTCATTTGAGCTAGACCCATTGGGTTTCGTCTAGATGGATCCTTTATTCAAGTTGGGCCCACAACCTAAGTTGGGTCTTGGGCTGGGCCCATTATTTGCCCCCTAATGCCCCGAGTCCAATAAAACTTGGAGAAGAGGGCATTTAGCTGAATTTGGACTCTGGTTGACGAAGACTCTTTTTGACTGATGACCCCTTTTCCTTCTTGATACGGTTATTTCCCATAAGACGTTCCTTATAGCGAAAACTCCACCCCATTCCATCACTGATTAGGATTTAAAAAAATCCTAGGCTATAAATTGGGGGGTTT